AAATAGTACATAGGATCATTTATGTGCATACTGATTCTAAGTGAAATATGAAATAAGGTGGGAATGAAAAGACAAAATGCTGTATGACCCCATATATATGTGCAATCTAAAAGGAATCATACTCAGTATTAGAGAGTAGAAAGATTGTAACCACAGCTTGGAGTAGGAGATGAAGAAACAAGAGGTGTTTTTCAAGAGGTACAGAGTCTCAGATGGAAGAAGTTTTTAGATACTAACAGGCTGACTCGTTTATACTGTATATTTCAAAACTGTTAAAAGAACAGATTTCTAATGTTCTCACCTCAAAAAAGGTAGCTACTTGAGGTGATAGATATATTAATTATCTTCACTTAATCTTTCCACAATGCAAACACATATCACAATATCCCATCTGAGCTTGGGAGATGGCTCAGTTGTAAAGTGCTTGCTTTGCAAACATGAGGATCTGAGCTTGACACTAGCACCCTCATAAAAGACAGGCACAGTAATGTGAGCCTGAAATCTCAGTGCTGGAGAGACACAGACAGGTGAAATGAAAGGGCTTATGGGGAATATACCCAGCCAAATTGATGAGTTCCAGGTTCAAAAAGTATCTCTGTCTCAAAAGATAAGGTGAAGAGTGATTAAGGAAGACATCCACCATCGACTCTGGCCTCTACACACATGTGCTCATGCACATATGCACAAAGAATTTCATTGTACCCTACATGGTGGTCAACAACCACCCATAACTCCTGTTCCAAAGGATCTAATACCCTCTTTTGGCCTCCATGGGCACTGTACACTTATGGTGTATTTACATGCATGCAGGAAAAACATTCATACATATAAAATAAAAATAAAGAAATAAAAGGCTTAAATAAAATCTTAAAAAAACCTATTCACATATTTTTAGATCACCTTCTATGTGCTAGACATCATCCATATATGTGAGTCTACAAATACAAACATGCTAAAACACAGAGAAACAATTAGAAAGAAACAGCAAAATATTAATAGCAGTGCACATGGACAATGACAGTAATAGATCTATTCCTATCATACACGCTACAATTTAAAAATATTCTAGTAGTATTACTTTCTCACACACACACACACACACACACACACACACAACTGGAGCTACTTATCAAAAGGTGCTGAGTATTAATTTTAACATTTATCTTACTGGAAAATGTTTGAGAAGGTACAGGAGGTAAAAGGTCAAAACCACATTAGCATTAGCAATGACAAGTGGTAAGACACACTTCCAAGTCCAACATCTGAAATCTCTCAGGACAGTAAAAATACCTGATGAAATAAACATAAAGCCCCATCAACTTTGCAGGGATAATTCGTGTTGACTTTTATTCTGTCAAGGAGATTTTTTTGTGAGCCTCCTACTATAAGAAGAAGAGCAATGTCTTCTAAAATAGAGTGTAATCCTATGTATGGTCTACTAGATGAAAAATAAATAACATACATTATTTTCCTTAATATTCATGTATATAACTGGCAACAAAAGGAAGTAATTTAAATTCAGGCAACTTCATTTATATCTAAAAGATATACAAAAAGATGCAAGGACATGAATATTCACTTACCAGCCCCAACATTAGCCAATTACTGCTAAGACACACACGACTGAAGTGTGGTAACTGTTACAGCATTTTAATCACCAAAAAAGACTGACAGTATTGCCTCTGGTGGCTTTTCCCATTCTTTGAAATACTGAACCATTATAGTATGGGGCCATCTAGAAGCCTCTGGCTTCTTGGCCAATTACAGTGCTAAAAGCTGTGCTGCAGCATCTATTTCTCACAACATGAGATGTTTTCATTTGCTGCACAGAGAAAACGTGACAAACCATGAAGATGCTCTAGTAATATTATTCAACTTCCCTGTTTTCACACAAGCATTTTCCTGCATTGCAATTATGTGCTTTTCAAAAAAGCATTAGAGCAGCACTGACACTAAAGCAAATATAGATATCTCATTTTCTGTAACAGCTGTGTTCTTAAAAAGACTGTGTAATTTCCCAATTT